TCATTCTAGTATTGGAATGGCATCGAATGAGGCTTTGTATGGTAGGAGGTGTAGGACTCCTTTGTATTGGTATGAGTTAGGCGAGAGTGCGGTACTCGGGCCTGAGATGGTGCAAGAGACGACTGAAAAGATCAAGAGGATCCAAGAAAAGACGTGTTTTGAGAGTTACGATGGTAACTGGTGTTGGTCGAACTTTGAAGTCTCAGAAGCACACGCCGTGTTTTGTTGATCTGTATCAGAGTGGCGCAGCGGAAGCGTGGGGAAAATAGCATGATAGACTGTTTTACCGATTTCACTTGCGAAAATTGCTTGATGTGTTTCATGTGTCTAAGTGGAGGGAGTACATTGATTTCGATGGATGGTGTACAAGTGAGAGATAATCTGAGTGTTGAAGCGTTGCTAGTCCAGAGTGATGAACGAGAAGCAACTTTGAGGTAAAGAGATTCCCTTGGCGAAAGTAGTTTTGGGAGGACCAGCTGGAGAAAGTTGGATTTAGGAGTGTGGAGATCAGTTGAGGGAGTCGTATCCGACTCTGTTCCTTGAGGTAATTTTCAAGGGCGAAAATTCTTTTAAGTGAGGGAGAGTTGTAACACCCCAAATTTAATCGGAATATTTTAATTAATTTATTTAATTAAGAATATTCGTATTTTGGGTGTTTTCGGTGATTTTTGGTGTTTTGTGGATTATTGAGAATTAATGCAATTTGTGGGTTATTTATTTAACTGATAGTATATAATATTAATTTATTAATATTATTATGAATTAAAATAAATAATAGTGAAAGAAGGGTAATTGGGACAATTGAGAGGAGTAAGTGAGGGTATAATGGGGAAAGCCCAATTATTTGGCCCAAGTCTAGGTTTAACAAAAAGAGAGTTCTGAAGGATTTTAGGATTCATTTTGTGTTAACCGTGAAGAATTGAGGCCAAGAGAACTCTAAAGAGGAAATTGGAGGCAGAAGCTTGAAAGATTCCCTGACAGATTCGTGAAGGCTTTGAATCAATGTTTAAGGTATGGGGAGTATAGATTTTCATGATTTTCCATGTATGCCTTTCGATGTGTTTATGGTTGATTTAAGATTTAAAGGATTTTGGGTTGATGGTGGTAAAGTAGGGAAATTGATAAGACTCTGAGGTTATGGCTAGTGGTTAGTATTCCTACCTGTTTGATGTGAAACATGAGTATTAGGAAACCTTAGGCCTTCGTGGCCGAAACCTTAGATTATTATATGTCCGACCGTAAGAGATAGGAATATGTGATATGAGAAATTATGATGCCTTCAGGGCAATTGTAGGGAAATTGTGATTTAGGATGTGAATATGTTTCGGGATTGGCCTAATGAACCGTAGGTTTTGTGCCTTTATCGCCATAGGACCTTAGGGATGATTTAGGGATGTTTTGGGGAGCATTGGGTAAGTGAATCGTAGAGCCTTTTGGGTAGAAATCAGTTCTGGTGCGTAGCAGAATTTGTTGTTATCATATTGTTCGCCTAGCGAACCATGCTGTTTCCAGACTCGCCTAGCGAAGAATCCTTCGCCTAGCAAAGAAACTCACCTCAGACTCGCCTAGCGAACATGCCAGCGAGCGTAGCAGAGTTTCCCGAATGTTGATCGTGTGCAGCGATGTCGTGATGTTTGATTCTGTGATTCTTGTGATGAGTTAACATGAGTAGGACTGGAAAGTTTATGTGATTAATAGGTGATAGTGTGAGGATTACCGCAAGTATAACTTGATGGATTAATATGAGATAGTATGGGATAATATTATGATTAATATGTGATAATATGTGATAACATGATGGGTTCATATGAGTATGAATATGAGCTCTATGTGATTTGTACATGGTTATATGATGATTTCTATGACGTATGATGATTATTATTATGACGAATTATATGATAACATGATGTGTGATGATTATTATTATGACGAATTATATGATGACATGATGTGTGGTGATGATTATTATGATGAATTATATGATGTCATGAGGAGTGATGATGATTATTATGATGTGCTATGATGACGTGATGTATGAGGATGAGCTATGACGTTTGATGATGATGAATATGATGAATGATGATGCACCTAGGATGTTATTATGAGGGTGATTTGTGACGTGTGCATCATGCATTCATGTGCATCCGGACTTCGGTTCAGGACCTCGATTACTTTGGCTTCAATCCCATTGTGTGGATGTGAAGTGTTTTGATGTGCTCCGGTTCTCTAGCAGAATCGATCCTATTGATGGGGATCTATAGAGGGTTGATGGCCCAGTGTCCATCGTGCTGTGATGATTGGTATCGCATGCATTGAGTCTATGTTGCATTTGCATTTATGAGCCTTTTGTATAAATTATGACGTTGTGGCTTTCGAGGTATATTTGAGGAATATGAATGTGTTGAATATAATTATGATGTCGTTTATGCATTAATTGTTATACATTGATTATTATGAATTATTTTACTCACCCTGCCTGTTCGAATGTTACCTCCACGTGGGTAACATGCAGATGACCAGGTTTAACTGTGGATTCCGTCGAGGAGTTATTTTTGAAGTTTTAGAGTCGTTAGCCTTTATGGTTAACTTAGAGGGTCTTGCTCTGATATGTAACATCGGGTTGGATTACTTGGGTTAAACTTTATACCGTTGAGTTATTTTGCTAACTTTCCCTTATGAGGAAAAACCTTGATTTATGCTTTGAGTTCCGCTGTTTTATGTTGTTTGATGTATTTTGGGGAAAACCCGTAGTTACGGAGTATTGACCTATTTTGGAGACATTGAGAAATGTACGCCCTTTTGGTGGATTTTTATTGAAATTTATTTATTTACTCTGAAACCTGTGTATTTTTGCCATGATAATTGTGGGGTAGAAAAAGGTGTTACATTCTTGACCTCTTTCTCAGAAATAGGATCCACCATATTCTTCTTTTGGTCGTTAAGCTGAGGGGCCCTTTCTCATATCTATAAGGTTGATACACTATAATGTTTGATCAGATTTCCCCACCAAGTCACCATAAAACTTCATAACAACCTCTTCCATTTTGTCTTGCTGGTTGTATATGGTCCCATCACTATCAGCAAGAGTAGTCATGTTAGTGTACTGATTTTATCTCTTTAAGGAAGCATGGAAGAATTTATTGTTCCCATCTCCCATCTTGATCCAGTTGATTTTGGCTCTCTGATAGATAAGTTGCTCCTCAATGCTGTTCAATTTAATAACATATTTAGTAAGAATTTTAACTTCCCCTATTAGGTTGTTATTCATCATGTCCACAACCAGAAGGTTTTGAGTCTCAATCAACTTATTTCTTATTGCTTCAAGTTGCTCCTTTATCCCTTTCAAAGACTTGTTTAGCTCTCTGGTGGTGCTTTTTATATTCATCAGCTTCTTCCACATAATTAACATAACAGACCCCTCAACTTGGTGGTTCCACTTGGCACTGATTTCTTCATGAAACCCACCCAAGTTGGTTACAACATTCCGAAATTTAAAAAGAGAATTATTTGGCTTGTTTACACTGCTCCCCTCAAGACAGAGCATGGCATGGTCAGAGACTCCAACTTTCATAAATTTCAGAGTGATATTCATATTGTTTTGGATCCACTCCATATTGCCAATCACCCTATCAGTTCTAGAGTAAATGGCTCATTGCACATGTTTATTAAACCAAGTAAAGTGGTCTCTCACACTGTCTTTTTCATATAGATCCATCTTGTCCATCATGTTGGTAAGATCTATGTACTTTTTTTCCATAATATCCTTCCCATCAATTATGTCCAAGGCATTGCAAACATTATTGAAGTCTCCAATGATGAACCACTCACCATTAGAATGAAGACTTTCAATGTCCCTCCACAGTCTCTTCCTCATATCAAGAGTATTTAAGCCATATACTGATGTGTATCAATTCTTTGTCCCATCCTGGAAATTTTCAATTTCTAGGTGGATGAACTGATCTGGACTCTTGATCTTTCTCACCTTTAACCTCTCTACTCTTCCAAGCATTGTTTATTCCTCTAACATCCCAAGAGATAATCATGGAATTCCATCTTGAACAATTGGGTCATTCCAAATCCCAAGTGTCTCAAATTTATTACGACAGTCTACAACATTGCTATCAATAACTACATTCTTACCTTTGTTTTTCCAGCTCTATGAAACCTGTGTCCAAGAAGGACCAGCTTGCTCCTCTATCTCTTTTGGTGTATTCAAAAAATGCTACTCTTTTGTCATTTTGCACTCTTATCTGGACTTGAGCTACCTCCTTCATTTCTACCACCTTAGGTTTCCACTGTTTGAAAGCATTGGCCTTGTCATTTGAACAAGTATGCCATACTTTCTGACACCTTTCGCAGAACTTCGGTTTCCATTCATATTCAACCATTTGAATCAACTTCCCACCTTCACTGTTATTAATGCTGATAGATTCCTTGAGTTTCTAAGTGGCATCAACCACCACGAGGATCCTAGCATAAGACACTCTCAAATTATTAGTCGTGTACTCATCTGTGAATAAAGGCCTACCTATCACACTTCCAATCTTTCCTAGAATCTTATCACCCCACAAATTTAAGGGAAGTTGGGGGAGCTTTATCTAAATAGGCAACGTTTGCAGCATATCTCTTTTGAAGTTGAACCCTGGACTCCATTCTTTCAACACCGTGGGGATATTTTTGATAGTGAAGGGACCTCTCATTAAAACCATATCACGTTCTATGAAGGAGTGAAATTTCATTAGGAAGTATCCCTTTTCATGATAATACATGCTAGGCAGTTTAACAAAATTCCAAATTTTACTCATGAATTGTTTCACTGTGTTCATGCTCAGATCCCGTCCCAGGGCATACATTATCAACGTAGATTCCCAAAATTTCACTTTAAATTCCACATCATCTTCCTCAATTTCTACTTCAATTTCACCATCCACCAGCTTAGGTGCAATGAATTCTATCGCCACTCCGTTTAAAGTCGTTATATTACCGCTTATAACGTCGGCCTATAACTTTTTTGGTGGCTCTTCTTCATGGTTAGTCTTAATGTTCATCCTTTCTTCCACTTCCGAGACTTTTGGATCTCCTTTGTTCTCTTTAACAATTTCTTGTTCCTCATGTTGGCTACTTTCCATGCTTTTCGAGGTGCTCCCATTGTCTGTTCCCTTCTCCATTTCCAGAGTATGAACTAGGGGGGATAACACCTTCTTTTTCTTAGGACGTCCCCTCCCTGTCTCCATACTCACAAAATCAAGCTCGTGTATGAAATCTCATTGAGTGTTGGTCCATATTCCTAGGAATAGGAGTTTAAACCAAACATTCAAGAAGATCTTTAGCAGAGCAGTGTTTTGCAATTGAGAAGCTATATTTTGTTGGTCATTCGCCATCGTGTCGGGTTCTCGTTCACCGTGTCGGGAATCTACCGGAGGTCGCACCTTATCCTCTCACTGCTCACATTACATTTATATAACTATTAATATTTCAACTATTTAATTTATTAAATAAATATTTTATTAAATATTTCAAATATTTAATACTTTAACTATTAATATTTTAACTATTTACTTTGTTTTAATAATTAATTTATTAAATATTTCAACTATTAATGATTAAACTATTTAGTTTATTAAATATTTTAACTATTTTATATTTTAATTATTAATATTTCAACTGTTAGTTAATAATAAAATAGTTTATTTAATATTAATAATGGAAATATTAAATAGTTTATTAAATATTAATAGTTTATAAAATATTTATATTTCAATTATTTTATTAAATATTAATAAAATACTAATATCAATCATTAATATAATAACAGATTTTACACGATTTAAATCTCTATGAAATCTGTAAAACCTTTGGATTTTACTTTTTAACTTAATTTTATTTTTTTTCTTGAAATTTTAAAATGCCTAGTCCAATAAAACTTCTCCATCTTTATTATATTTTATTTGAAATTCACTAGCTTTTCAATTTTTTTAACCGAATACAATTTAACTATTCTTCTCCACTTTTCAATTTAACATACCACTAATTTTATCATGTTTTCATTTTCAATGTTTTCTTTCTAGAAAATGATTATTACAACATGTAGGGATGTATCTTTTTTTACAAATGGATTGGGTTGGGTCGGATGTGAATTGATTCGTTTACTTCATTTAAATAATAACCGAAATCGGCCGAACTTAATTAATATATATTTTATTTATTTTTATTACTATATAATTGACTCACTATGAAAATGAGATTCATAATATTGCAAGATATTATTATTTTTATATTTTAATGATTACATTCTGTAGTCATAAAAATACAAGACGGCAATATAAAATTTTGAGTATTATTTAATTTGTAGTTTAAAGTATGAAAATGATCAAAATTAATGTCAAATAATATTAAAAATATTATCCTGTAATAATAGTTTATTTTTTAATAATAAAACAAATAGTTCTATTCTAAAAATTTGATATTTTTTATAAAAAAATAAACATTTTTTATAGGTTATTTTTTATAAGTTTATTTTAATAAATATTAAATCGACTAAACGGCCAAACTAATTTGACTTAACCATGAAAACCAAAATTTTATCAATCAAATTGAGTCATAAAAATGAATTTATGTCAAATTTAAGTTTTAAGCCTAAACATTCTTCATTCCAACCACTATATGACCCTTTGAGTTTTTGTATCTCTAACATTTGAGATGTTCAAAAGAGGTAAGACATTCTCGTCTCTTTAGAATTTGTTTTAACTTTTTGTTGTAACCAAATAATGCCACAAATTTGGTTTGGGTTGTACCAAATTTGGTGAGGGAATAGAAAAGGTATGAAATTAAGATTAAGAAGAAGAAAATTATTAGCTATTTAGAAAGTTATTGATGAGTGAAGATTGTGATATGAATTTTTGAAAGTGTTTAAGAAAAAAAATGGATTAGTCTTAGGGTGTGAGATTTGGTAAAATTTGAAGGTGGAAATAAATAACCAGAAAATAAAGGAATGAGAGGTTGATAAAGTTTGAAAGTTAACATAAATATTTTTTATTTTATAAAATAATAGTATCTGGATAAAAAATAGGATAGAAAATAATGATGTTAATTTATATTAAGTTTAACTAATTTTTGAAACCTGTCAAAATAATTAGGAATTTGTTTTAGAAAATAATTCATTACTATTAAATAGGTTTTATGAGTTTAAGATGATTTTTTTTTTTTGCAATATTTAAATTTGCTTAATCTACAAGTACCAATAAGAGTAAGATACACAAGTACCAATAAGAGTAAGATACACATTATATATATATATATATATATATATATATATATATATATATATATATATATATATATATATATATATATATATATATATATATATATATATATATATATATATATATATATATATATATATATATATATATATATATATATATATATATATATATATATATATATATATATATATATATATATATATATATATATATATATATATATATATATATATATATATATATATATATATATATATATATATATATATATATATATATATATATATATATATATATATATATATATATATATATATATATATATATATATATATATATATATATATATATATATATATATATATATATATATATATATATATATATATATATATATATATATATATATATATATATGGCAAAACGGGTCGGTCCGTCTGACCCGTCAGTTTTGGCGGGTTGGACTGTGATTTTCGACTCAGTACTTTAAGTTAGCGGGTTGGACTGTGATTTTCGACTTGGTACTTTAAGTTGGTCTGTCCCGCCGAACCCGGTTGAAAAAGCGGGTCAAGGTAGGGCGGGACGGGTTTTGACCGTGAATTTTTTGTTAAAAAAATTTATTTTTTTATTTAGAATTAAAACAACTTTAACTATAAAAACAACACTCTTCTCCTAAGATTATGTTGATTGAATTGTATTATAAATTATTATACAAACAAATTGAACTATAATTGAAATGTTCTTTCTATAACTTTCTAATACATGTGTTGATTGGAAAAACTTGAAATAAAAGAACAATTGTATGTCATGCAAAATTATTAAGTTGTCAAACATTAGCTCATATATTTTCTTTAGAAATAGATATTGATTTTATGAAAATGAAGGATTTGATTAGTGTATATGTATGACAAATTTAGAATTTAACTATTAAAAAATCAATCAGTAAAAGAGTCCGTATGTGGTAAATATCGAGAAAATTATGTGATATTTTATACAATGTAATTGTTATCATTGTTTGTCTTTTGTATTATTTACTATTCACTAGTTTTTAAATATGATTAGGATAAAATATATTATTTATTTATTTATTTATTTATTTTGATAAAAAAAATTTATTGTGCTTGAGTTTATTTTGTTAGTTTTTTTGTTGTAATTGGTCTTTATTAATTTTATTTTTTTAACTGTTTGAACTTAAAACATGTTGAAGTTCTATTATGCGTTGTTAAAAAAATCTTTTAAATAAATTATGTAGTAAATCAAATTGCAAAATAAAAAATAAAAAATTAGCAGGCTGATCCGCCAACTCGTTAGTAAACGGGACGGACTTGACTTTTGAGCTCGGACACCTAAGTTGGTCCGCCCACTTTTGGACGGACTTAAACGGGACGGGGCCCCCACTTTGCCACCCCTATATATAACATATGATATGAGAATGTCATTTTTATATGAGAACATGAAAATGAATCTGAATCATTAAATTTTAAAATAAATGGGAGAGGTTATGCGTAGTTTTTCTCTCTCACTCCTCCATTATCTGTTTTAATAATAGAAGAGAGAAAAAAATCTATATATATATATATATATATATATATATATATATATATATATATATATATATATATATATATATATATATATATATATATATATATATATATATATATATATATATATATATACACACACACTAAGGTGCATAGTTAATTTAAAATTAAAAACTAAATTAACTCTCTATTTTGTAAAATAGAAATAAAAAAAGGAAATGTTAAAAATAAATAAAAATGGATGTGTTGTGTGTAAAAGTTTCATGTTTTGTATGGAAAATGTTATTATGACTAAAAATTGATAATTTGTTAATTTTTTGAATTATCAACTAATCATTGGATGGTTCCTTTCACTTTGGGATTTTTGTGGGCTGATTTAATTCGATTTTGAGAGAATTTGATGTCAAAACCAATAAAAAATATATGGATTATTTTGGATTATGTTAGACGATGGCACGGATCTAGAAGGGGGGTTGAATAGATCCCAATTAAAAAATCAGACGACGCTACCAATTAAAATTTGGTTTTAAAAATATTTGATTTGTGGAAGCAGCCGTGGAAAAATACTGTCTATAACGAACCGATATTAGAAGATCGGATATGCGTCTAGCCTTATGGAAATGATAATGAGCAAATAGAATCATCACACTAGTCACACTATCAATTGATTAATATCACTAATTAGTAAGACTAGTTCCAATGCTACACAATGCCAAAGTGAATTTTGGTGTAGACAATTTATCAAACACTTGGCGTGCGAGGCATTCCAAGTGAGTTTTGCCTTGAGTAAGTGACTCTAGCTTCCTTGTACAATACACTATTGTACTAGAGTTAAAAACAATGTTAATCACTTACTCAAACCAATGTTAACTTGATAAAATTGCTTATACTAAAATTACTCAATTTTCAAGCAAAAATGAAAGTGCTGAAAAACAAAGGAGATAAAGATTTGCTGAGGCAGTTCCCCCGTCGTCCTCGCTTCGGGGTACGTCTGCCCTCAATTCTAAAACTAGAATTGAGCTCGATATAATATAGATATCACCTGTTGAGTTGAAACGTTTATACAAGGATAGACAAGCAAAATATACAAACAAAATCTCTGGTTGTTGATGATGCTTTCTCTCATTGTTCCTTGATTCAAGTTGAATCAAGACCTTCGATTGTTATGGATAGACCTCCGATTACAACCCCTTTGTTGAATAACCTTGCGTTCTTCAAACCCCAGCCCGGCTGATCTCAAACACCAACAAATCGAACCTGAATTTCTCCTACGTAATTCACTGATTGTCGCTACTAGATTGACCGAACCTACCGTTCCTCAATCACCTTCGCTCAGCTGAATGTTGTAGAGACGATTCGTATCAAAAACCCCCCAAATTCGACGAATCTTGGAGGATAAAACCTTCAAGGTTTTATTCAAGA